ATCATCGAAGGAAAAATGAATTCCAAAGTTTATCAAGACATTTTGCAGGAGAACTTAAGGCTACCAGCTGAAGCTCAACAGAAGATGGGTGTTGCAACAGGACAATGACCCAAAGCATAGAAGTAAATCAACAACAGAATGGCTTAAACAGAAGAAAATATGCCTTCTGAAGTGGCCCAGTCAGAGTCCTGACCTCAACCCGATTGAGATGCTGTGGCATGACCTCAAGAAAGCGATTCACACCAGACATCCCAAGAATATTGCTGAACTGAAACAGTTCTGTAAAGAGGAATGGTCAAGAATTACTCCTGACCGTTGTGCATGTCTGATCTGCAACTACAGGAAACGTTTGGTTGAAGTTATTGCTGCCAAAGGAGGTTCAACTAGTTATTAAATCCAAGGGTTCACATACTTTTTCCACCTACACTGTGAATGTTTACATGGTGTGTTCAATAAAAACATGGCAACATTTCATTCTTTGTGTGTTATTAGTTTAAGCAGACTGTGATTGTCTATTGTTGTGACTTAGATGATGATCAGATCACATTTTATGACCAATCTGTGCAGAAATCCATATCATTCCAAACTGTTCACATACTTTTTCTTGCAACTGTATATATATATATATATATATATATATATATATATTTATTTTTATTTTATTTTTTAAATTCTTTATTTTTATAGTGCATATGAGATAACAACATGGGGTACGTTAGAGCTTGCACTTTTTATATTTAATATGCATTTGATCTGGCTTAATCACGAGTTAGTATTGTTAAATGTAAAATGAAGTTTGTGTAAATCAGGCAACATAGATTTAAGCAATGCTAGAAATAAGACTGCCTAAATATTATTTAACATTGAGTAACATGCTGGATTATACATGCAATAAATGACACCCAGTGAGCTCGCTTAGCTTATGTGTCAAGAGGAGGTGGACAGAGGAGTGCCAAAGGAACATGGCTTGCATTTTAACGTTTAAGCGGAATAGTGAGACATATGTGAACTGCTAGGCTAGTTAGAGTGTAAGTAAGTATGTTGTCTGCTTGTATAAAAGTGTTGCTGGCTCTTTAAGCTCTCTGCCTGTCATGTTTTCTCTGAATGTTCAATGCACTTGCAATTCTGTAAGGTGGGAGGCTTCTCTAAACCCAGTATAAAGTAAAGAAGACAGCAAAGTTTCAAAAGGGTTATGACTTAGCGTTAGATTATTCATGCATGTGCCCTCTAATGATCTAATGTCCAGTAACAGAGGTGGCTCTCTAATTAGGCGGTTTATGCGGCCGCCTAAGGCTTCGCGGCCGCCTAAACCACCATACGACAGACTGACATGTCGGGTCCTCGAGGACCCGACACAGGAGGGGGCCCGGCGGCTTGCCCTGTATGCTGCCGGGTGTTAGAGTGAGTGTGTTAGTGTTAGAGTGTGTGTGTTAGAGTGTGTGTGTGTGTGTTAGTGTTAGAGTGTGTGTGTTAGTGTTAGAGTGTGTGTGTTAGTTAGTGTTAGTGTGTGTGTTAGAGTGTGTGTGTTAGTGTTAGAGTGTGTGTTAGAGTGTGTGTTAGTGTTAGAGTGTGTTAGAGTGAGTGTGTTAGAGTGAGTGTGTGTGTGTTAGAGAGTGTGTGTGTGTTAGTGTTAGATTGTGTGTGTGTGTTAGTTAGTGTCCGTGTGTGTGTTAGAGTGTGTGTGTTAGAGTGTGTGTTAGAGTGTGTGTGTGTGTGTTAGTGTGTGTCAGTCACTGAGTGTGTTACTGTGTGTGTCTGTCACTGAGTGTGTTAGTTTGTGTGCGTCTGTTAGTGAGTGTGTGTTTTGTGAGTGAGTGAGTGTGTGTATGTATGTCTGTCACTGAGTGTGTGTCTGTTAGCTAGTGTGTATGCGTCTGTTCGTGAGAGTGTGTGTGTGTCTTAAGCACTTACCTTTCTCCAGTGCCTGACTCCCTTGGCGCTAGGGATCTCTCTGATCCGCCTCTCAGCTCCGAATGCGCATGCGTGGCAAGAGCCACGCACGCATTCAAACCGCCCATAGGAAAGCATTACTCAATGCTTTCCTATGGACGTTCAGAGTCTTCATACTGTGATTTTCACAGTGAGGATCGCGGAAGCTCCTCTAGCGGCTGTCAATGAGAGAGCCACTAGAGGCTGGATTAACCCTCAGTGAAACATAGCAGTTTCTCTGAAACTGCTATGTTTTCAGTTGCAGGGTTAAAACTAGAGGGAACTGGCACCCAGACCACTTCAATGAGCTGGTTGATCTGGGTGTCTGTAGTGGTCCTTTAAGTGTATTTGTATCTGCATGCACTGGCGTACATATCGCGGTCGCAGGGGTCGCGGCCCTCTCACCCTGCCACCCCACCTGTCACCCCCCTCTCACCCTGCCACCCCACCTGTCACCCTGCACCCCACCTGTCACCCCCTCTCACCCTGCCACCCCACCTGTCATCTCCCTCTCACCCTGCCACCTCCCTACACTATGTCACCCTCCCTCTCACTCTGTCACCCCCTCTATATTATGTCACCCTCCCTCTCACACTAGGTCTCCCCCCTCTCACAATGTCACCCACTCTTACTCTGTCATCCTGTGACCATCCACACTATGTCACCCCCCCTTAGTCTATGTCACCCCCTCAGCCTGTTTCTCCCCACACACTATGTCACCCTCCCTCTCACGCTGTCACACCACTTACACTAATGTAACCCTCTCACACTGTCACACCCCTCTCACACTAATTTCACCCCCTCTTACTCTGTCATCACCCCTCACACTCTGTCACCTCCGTACACTATGTCACCCCCTCACACTCTGTCACCTCTCTCCGCGCACACTGTCACCCCTCCATATACATTGTCACCCAACTCCAAACACACGTGCACCACTCTCCGCACACACGGGCACCTCCCTTCATTCTCACTGTCAACCCTCAACACTCTGGCACCCCACTCCATACACTCTGGCATCCTCCTGCTCTTTTACACTCACCCTGCCACAGTTACCCCTTTACTCACCCTGTCACCCCCTGAAGGCAATAATTATACACACTGTCATAAAACATAGCTTCGCCATAAACTCAGTGCCAAAGGCCACAGGCTGTACACAAACATTCACATGTTTAGAGAAACATACATACATATACAAGGATACTCAGTGCCAGACAAACACTCTCAGGCACACACAGGTAGACAATGCAACGATGTATACAAAGACTAGCTCTCTATATCCAGTGCTGCAAGCCCCCCTCCAATATATCTACAGCTTCTTATACAAACATAAATTAACTGCTATTTTTTTCAATAATGGTGTTAGTGGGGGCCTCATGAATGAGTTTCACCTAAGGCCTCGCCAAGTCTAGAGCCGCCACTGTCCAGTAACATAGCATCCACTGGTGGCTGCCCACCTTTTTAAGTGAGGGGGATTGGGGTCAATGGATGCGGGAGCTACTGGCGTTAACAAAAGAAATTTAAAACAGTTAAAGCAGTGACCATTAGGGGTCTGGGCGTCGGGTTATGCAGTCTGGCAGCGCTGGGTGATGCAGGTCCCCTTGGCCGTCCGCTTGAGTCAGTATATGCCCATCCTGGAGGCCAGAGATGATTGCTTGGTATGGAGGTAGTGCAGTTCGTCTCGTTAAACCGATGCCGGCTCTGGGGGCTCGACGAGTGGGCTAAGAGTTGTGACAGAATTGGTGCCTCAGTAATGTTCCAACCCCTCTTTGCCTGTGTTTGTCTCTGGAAGGAAGCTGGGTCTTTGTCCGGGTGGCCTCGCATCTGTCCACGTGGATCTTTGATTGCGGGGGTGGTTGGAGGTTTCCGGTGCCGCTGAGTGGTGAGTGGGTTCAGTGGGCTCAGTGGTCTCGCTTTGGTGCATGTGAGGCCGGGATATCCCCCGCCGGTCCAGAGTGCGGGGGGGGGGAGGTAGCAGGGCAGTGTTCCAAGCTTGCTTGTGAGCAGGTCTCGTGCCGGTGGTCAGCCATTCCCCCTGGCCTCAGGCCCCGCTTCAGTGTACGCCGCGTGGCAGGTCCGTGTGCCCGTAGTGTGCAGTGGTGCCCAACGGGCATCGTTTTGTTTCCCGTGTGGTCCTGCACTTTTGTAGGGGCTCCGTGTGTTGCTGGCACGAGTAGTTTATTCAGGATTCACGTTTATTTGCTCTTAGAGAGCACGTCCGGCCATCTTGGCAGTCAGGCCCCACCCCCCACTGTGTGTATATTGTGTGTGTTTGTTTGTGTGTATATATATATATATATATACACACACACACAAACACAAAATATGTTTGAATGTAAGCATGTTTTTGTATGGAGAACGTGTGTGAATGTTGGTGTTTGAATGCAGGTGTGCATTTGTGTGTAGTGTATACACTTTCACACACACTGATATTCAGGCATACACTGACACACATGCAAACACACAGATACCCAAACACATATATCCACACAGACACACACATACACAGACAGTCAAACATTGACACAGAATACACACACAAACACAGGCACACGCACTGATACAAAAGGACACAGATACACACACTGATACTCACACATACATACTAACATACACACATACTGAAACAGACATACACATATATACAGACACACACACACGCATACAGACACATGAACATACAGACATACATACATGAACATACAGACACATACATACATACTGACAAACATACTGACATACATATACAGATACATACTGTGGCAGTGTGAGGGAACACTGCTATATTAGATCCAGAATGGCACTTTCAGTGTTCCCTGACTAGAGGTTGTTAAAAATCAGATTGCTCTAGTACATCAATTAGGGAGCTACATAAACCCTATGCAGAGGGAAATCAGTCTCTCCTGTGAAGAGCTGGGGCGGAGACAGAGAGACTGAGTCAAAGAGACTGCTGAAACTGTGTGGAAGTAAAGGTATTTTGCAAGCCTTTATTTTTATTTGTTAAACTACTGGAGTAGGTGTAAGGATATGAAATAGTTAACTCTTTTTGCTTTATATGCTTTAAAATAATGTTTGAAATAATTATGCTGACCTTGGCAGATGTATTCTGTAACATGCTTTTGAGAGGCCTCCCTTCTACAGGATGTATGACCCCGCTCGACCTCAGGATGTTCCTGTCCTGTCTTTATTCAAATGCTTATCTTTTAATGTCAGACAAGTATGTACTATTAACTACAAGGAAACAATAAATCTCGCTGCTTGCGTGACAAACTGTGTATAAATGCTAGCCTTGAAAATATACTCACTGAGAACTTGTTAAGCACTCTTTCGTGTCTGTGTCTTAATTTGCTAAACAAGAGCTCCCGTCAATTGATGTGGTGACCGGAGAATCGAGGGGAGTTGAGTCCAGAACAGCATTAACCCTTTCAGCTTGGTGTCCGAAGTGGGATTACAGCAGGACCATTGTGGGTAAGTAGCCTTTTTGTGTCTTATTGACGCTGATTGTCTATGACCCCCTTCTGTTCAGTAAGTCTGTATCCAGTAGATAGGAAAGGTGTATTGAGACTGTAAATAGGTCTCTGGTGTTTACTGGACAGTTGGTCTAGTATAGGGTTCTTGGTAACCCAGGTTAGATAGATACAGGGTATCTCAGGTAGATACAGGTTTTGAGACTATAAAGGAGTCTCCGGTTTATTAAGACTGTAGGTGTTCTAGGAAACACTGTTTATAGATCTAAAATAACCCAAACTTCTCGTTCCTCTGGTCACCCTGTGTCTGCTTTGTGTTTATTTTGCTTGTTAAGAAGAGACACACTATTGGTAAGTAGGTAGTGTCTCTACCCTGAGCCAGAAATATGGGAAATAGTCTATTTCTTATCCTTTACCCCACCCAGGGGAGTCATGTCTAAATTATGTTACTAGAATAGGAGCACAAGGAGAATTTCTTACAATCCCCTTTGTGTCAAATTTAGCAGGATGGACAGAAACTATGAAGTCATCTGATCCTTTTACCAGGTGTGGGGCTAATGATGATTTCCATATGAATATGATTCGAGGATTGTGTTTGGGAGATAGGAAGTCATGGCCGTGGTATGGTCCTGATCCAGATTGGGATAAGGAATATATGAAAGCAGGAGGTGAAAATTGGTTGCAGATAGCCCCTCATTGGTTTCCTTGTAGTGTAACAGGAAAGGTTTTAAAGGGAGCTAAGAAAGACCTGGCTAAGAGAAAGGGAACTGTTGACAGTAATACCATCCGCTTTCCCATAGAAGCCCCTCCTGAGAATCTACATCCACCAACAATTGTGACCCTTACCCAGTCAGCCCCCGGCCATGCCCAACCACAACCCCCACCTCCCTATAAAGGAATGTATCCTGCTGTACCTAATGCCCCCTCAGAGGATGATATAGAATATATTTGTATTGCTGCAGCTGTTAATTCACAATCACAGCAATTACAGGAATCATCATCTACACCAGATTCTGATATAGAATATCCACCGCCACCTCCCAGTACAATTAAATTAACAGTACAAACGGGAGTTAAACTTAAAAGAGGCAAGGTGTTAAAACCATATGTACATAAGCAAGGTGATGATGATGTAGAGATGCCAGAATTAGAAGGTGCTGATCTTACTGCCCCGTTCATGACTGTTGGTAATCAGTTAATAATGAAACCCATTAATCCGGGAGTACTCAAGGACATTATTCAAGGTGCCCCAAACCCCCGTACTAATCCCTCTGCATGCCTAATGTATCTGAAAAGAATGTGCTTAGGACAGATCATGACACAGATAGACATAAAGTTAATTATAAATGGAATATTATGGTATGACTCAGATTCTGGTTGGGATTGGTCTAGGGTACCCTCTATCAGTGAGACAGACAACGGTACTGGAGTTGGAGAGGCTGGCAGTGATAGTGTTTATGAGCTTAGTACTTCAGCAGGATGTGCTGAAATGTGGGACAAGGTGGAAGCTGAAATGTTGAGATTATGGAAGAATAAGCAGTCTATATCCACTGCTTTGGCATGTAAGCAAGGTGCAAAGGAAGAGATTGGTATTTTTGTAAAGAGATTTTACAAGTATTGGAAGGATGAGACAGGTTTGAAGTCTGGAGATGATATGGATCTCCTTAAAATACAGTCATGCCTTGGTAATATGTTGCCACAGTATTCTTTGCTTGTGAAACAGTTGATTTCAGACTGGGCCAATTTGGGTGGCTCAGATTTTCTTACCAAGGTTATAGAGAAGGAAATGCAGGTTGTTTTGACTTAAGAAAAGACTCAGGAAGTAAGGTTGCTTATTATACTCAGCGATTGCAACACTGTCCACCTACACAGGCCCGAGATAGAGGATGGGATGGAGCATATAGAGCCTGTGGAAGGGGTGGTCAAAGAGGGGCAAGGGATTGGAGATAGGGAAATCAGGCTTATAGGGGCAGGGGTAACCAAGGAGGAATAGACAGGAATACTTGTTTCAACTGTGGCCAGCATGGCCACTGAAGGAATGAGTGTCCACACCCCAGGAAACCCCAGCCGCCCCAACAACCCCACAATTCTCAAAATACGCCCGGTAGGCAAGAACAAAACCAGTCCCACTCCCAACACCACTGGCCAGCACTTCCCCTCCCCCCTCGCTCCAGCAAACCCAAACTGCACTAGGGCCATTCACAGGTACCACTGACCAGAACACCCATCACATCCCATGGCGCCAATAAGGCTGCCTTGAAGGTGACACTCCAACTTTTCCACTTTTATCCTCTACTAATGATGATCAGCCTTTTTGCATTCTGGTCATGGAAGGTAGATCCTTGCCATTTTTGGTAGATACTGGAGCTACGTGTTCCAGTCTCTGTGACACCTATTATCAGGGGACAAGGGAAAAGTCTACATCTTCATTGGGTATTAATGGAGAGTCAACACCTACTTTTGTCACACCACCACTATCTGTTTTCTGTCCTCTTAATGGTTCTTCTACTGTGCACCCTTTTCGTCTAATACCTAAATGTCCTGTTGGTTTGCTGGGAAGGGATCTTCTTGGTATTCTGGGTGCTACCATTACTTGCACGCCCTCTGGTGGTATTGATGTGTATGTTGTGTTCTGAAACTATTGATTTGTCTGATGTTCCTTCCTCTGTGTGGGCTTCATCTAAGTTAGATGTAGGATTTGTCAACTGCACCCCTTACAAAGCCAAACTAAAACCAGATGTAACTCCTATCTACCTTAAACAGTACCCCCTGTCAGAAGCCAAGGTTGAGGGAGTTCTCCCCATGATCCAATCTTTTCTAGAGCAGGGAATTCTAAAGCCAGTAGTTTCCCCATATAACACACCTATTAATCCAGTTCCTAAAGGTAATGGTTATCGCTTAGTTCAGGACTTTAGAGCCCTGAATAGTTTAATTGTGCCCATTGCACCCATTGTCCCTGATGTGACATCCCTCATTACAGCCATTCCACATGATGCCACTTGCTTCACTGTCATTGATTTAAGTAATGCATTTTTGTTCTATACCTATTGATCAAGAGACACAGCTACTTATTGCTTTTATTTTTGAAGGCTGTCAGTATACCTGGACATGCTTACCCCAAGGCTATGTGGATTCCCAAGCCGTTTATTCGCTGGTACTCCAACATACTCTAAAAACATGGACCCCCTGTCACGGTTCCGTCCTTTTGCAATATGTTGATGATTTGTTGTTATGTAGCCCTAGCTATGAGGCAAGCACTGTGGATACGGTCAGTTTGCTCAAACACTTAGCAACTGTGGGTCACAAAGTTGCAAAACACAAAATGCAATTGTGTAAATCAAAGGTTGATTACTTAGGTTTTGTTCTGGCTTCAGGCACCAGACAATTGAGTCCAAAACGTATTGAGGTCATTCAGAGGATTCCTAAACCCACTACTCGGAAGGAGTTGCTCACCTTCCTCGGCATGATTAATTACTGCCACCAATGAATCCCTGAATGCTCCCATTATGACTCAATCCTAAGGGAGGCTGTACGTTCTGACAGCCCTGAAAATGTCAGCTGGTCACCAGACATGCTAGCTGCGTATATTGCCCTCAAAGTTGCTATTGTGCAAACCCCGGCTGTATTGTAAACCATTTCATTTGTATGCTCGAGACAACTGTAAAACCATGGCCGCGATCTGCGCACAAGAGCACGGAGACGGTACGCGTCCCATAGCATTCTTTTCCAAAGTAGTTTCAGCTCCGGTACAGGGTATGCCGGCGTGTCTCAGAGCATTGGCAGCATGTGCAATGGCTGTTGAGACTGCTACTACTATAACACTAGGGCATCCTACAATACTCCATACCAAACACCAGGTCACTCAGCTTATAAAAAAATCTCACCACACAACACATGACTGCCCAGCACTTAAGTGGTTATGAGATTATTCTTCTTAATACCCAGAATCTGTTTATTGTCTATAGTCCTGTTAATTCTGGTCCTATGTCTGTTTTGCATGCTATTCTCACTTCTGCATCTGACTCTGTGTGTATACCATCTGAGCCTCTTAATTGCATTGAACAAATACATATTGCCACATCTCCAAGAGCAGCCCTCTCCTCCACAGCACTCAGTGGCCCGGATGTGACCACTGTCTTTGTGGATGGCTCTTGCTTCAGACCAAATGACGGTACGTACCTCACAGGCTATGCTGTGGTACAGCTACCTGATAAAATCATTGAAGCTGACACTATTTTCCAGCTGTCTGCACAATCTGTAGAACTCATTGCTCTCACACATGCCTGTCAGCTTTTTTCAGGACAGCGAGTGAACATTTACACAGACTCACGATATGCTCATGGGGTAGTGCATGATTTTGATGTGATTTGGAAACAAAGAGGCTTTGTAGGAGCCGATGGAAAAGCCATTTCACACACAAATCTCATCCAATCACTCCTAGATGCTATCCTACTACCATCTGAAGTAGCTGTTATCCACTGCAAGGCACACACTCTGGGTAATGATGACATTTCCAGAGGTAATGCCTTGGCTGACAAAGTGGCAAAAGAAGTTGCAGCTGAGACTCTTTACTATGCCCTACTGACAATTTGCTTTTGCAGCTCCAAGCCTTTGCAACGCAATCTGACTTTGATTTTTGGATTAAACAAGGTTTAGAGAAAGATCAGAATGATCTTTTCTCTAAAGAGGGGAGAATAGGCATACCTGAAGCCAGCTGCTTTATTTTCATCAGTCAGGCACATGGTCCCGGTCACAAGAGCATAGCAAGCACAATCCAATTCCTCATGAATTAATTTTATATTAGGAATCT